TTTGGCGCTCTATGGCTCCAACTAGGGTGGCATTTTTTTTATGGACTGTAGTTTGGGGTAAGATACTGACGATTGATAATTTGAGGAAAAAGGGGAATTGTTTGGTCAATTGGTGCTGCCTATGCAAGCAACATGGTGAGTCAATTGATCATATTCTCATGCATTGCCCCGTAGCACACGACTGTTGGAATCTTATTCTTGGGTTGTTTGGCATGCGTTGGGTAATGCCACGTTCTTCTAAGGAGTTGATTCATGCTTGGAGAGGATGTTGTGTGAGAAGAGATGTATGCGATTACTGGAGAGTTGTTCCACATTACGTTTGGTGGTGCATCTGGAAGGAGAGAAATAACAGAATGTTCGGAGGGAAGGAGTCGTCTACAGCGACATTGAAACTTTTTATTATTCGCTCTCTTTTTAATTATGTTAAGAGGAGTTCTTGCTCCTCTTCCGATGATTTAATTATTTTCTTGGATTTTTTAGGGCCTTGGCCTCGGTTCCATTTTTGTAATTGGGACGTGTTCCCCTTTTGAACGCCTTTTAATTTACTTTTTACTTATAAAAAAAAAAAAAAAGGAAACAAATACTATAATTAATTTTCTTGAAGGACAAGCAATACAAGTCCTAAAAGGATTTAACCTCGTTGTATCATTATAAATAGAGGCTAGACCTCCCAATAAAGATATACAAATCTTCCTGCACAATATTTGTTTTTTCAATTGATCATTTTATTTCTGTGCAGTGAGAAATTGGTTGTCTATTCTAAGTTAACAAAGTTTTGCTCATACGATTTGGCACCGTCTGTGGGAAGAGACAAACTTCTCATAAATTTTCATAGTATGATATATGCGACATCGTTCCGGAATGACAACTGGAACCGATGCAGATAATTCGAAACGTTGAGAAGAGCTAGCGAAGATAGCGCAGCACAGTTGCAACCTCTTCGACAATAGAATCAAGTCCTTCAGGCGGACATTGATCGTTTGACCGCACCGCCGCCGCCCCGGCACAACAACCCCTAGGACGAAACCCAACGGACCCCATTCAGGTACCAGAGCTGCAAACCAATCAGCGGCATCTCGACAACCCTCAGGGCCACAACCTCCAGTAAGACGGAATCTAGCATCTATCCTGGCAAGTTTATAATAGTAGCAGAGTAGGATGGTAGAAGACCAAGCCGAGTCAAGTAAGAGGAACGGGTATGGATTCGAACCCAATCCCACCATGATTCTCAGTACTACAGGAGAATTGTTCAAGGGTTTCAGAGTTCAGACCCCAGAGCAGATGGCGAAGGAGTTCACTGCTTCGATCATCAAAATCCCGTTCACTGACAACATCGAACTAATGGACGATCCGACTCACCACTTGGCCCACTATGCTCAAAAGATGGCAATGCACACCCATAACGACCGCCTCATGTGCAAAGCCTTCCCTGCGAGCCTGACCGGTGTAGCGGTTGAATGGTTCAAAAACAAACCCCACCGATCCATCTCAAGTTTTGAAGAACTTTGCGTAGTATTTTTAGCCCAATACTGCGGAAATAAGAAACAAAAGAAAACCATCACCAGCCTCTTCGCTCTACGGTAGATGAAGGGTGAAAGTCTCCAAGCATTTAACGTACGGTTCAATATGGAAGCTGTAGGCATACCCGACTATCACCAGCTTATGGCAATGGAAGCCTTTAAAATCGCAATAATCCAAGGAACGAAGTTCCACACATCTCTGATCAAATATTCACCCCAGATAAGTACACTCTAAGCCGAGCACAGAGTTATATTCAGGTAGAGGAGAATGAAGCGAACCGAAGGTTGCAATCAACGCTGATTTTAGTAAAAGGAAAGTCAAAGGAAAAAAGCTCTAAAGTTAAAAACTCCGGGCCCCCGTTGGCCTCGGTCTTCCCAGCTTCAGATAAAAAACAGAGGACCGAAGAAAAGGTCACGCCCATAAGAACAACGCTGGCGAGATTGTTCCAGGAGAACAAAGCTAAATTCCCTGTTCCACCTCCCATCAAACAGCCCATGGAACAGAGGGATAAAAGCAAACATTGCGCCTATCACAGGGATTACGGCCATGCAACTAACAATTGCAGGACTCTCAGACGACAAGTGGAGTCACTAATCTCAAAGGGGGATCTAGCGGAATACGTGCACGACAAAGAGCAAACAAAGGCAAGACAATCAACCATTGGACCTAAGAAGACCACTACCAAAGGGAACCCCGTGCGGGTGATTCACGTTATACACAGGAAGCCCGAGGAAGACATGGTTCCGAGGACACCTACAGATAGGCAAGTTCACAAGCTGAGGAAACTAAGTACGATCAATACCGTTAGCCTGGGAACCGCCAGAATTCGGTGATGAGGATTTAGCAAGAGTTCATATACTACACAAAGATCCATTAGTAATCAGCCTGCTTGTGGCTAACTGCTTAGTGGAAAGAGTTCTAATAGACCCGAGAAGCAGCGCTAATATACTTACCTAACAAACTTTTGAAACTTGGGATAGACGTATCACACATAAAGTCCACCTCAAGCCCATTAGCTGGATTTGACGGGTCCAAGGTAGATCCCATCGGAGTATTGGACTTGTCAGTAACCGCAACAAGAAGAACCTTAAAGGAAAACTTCGTATTGGTAGATATCCATCCTTCCTATAACCTAATTACGGGGACAGGCTGGATACACAGGATAAAGGGAGTCCCATCCACTCTCCACCAGGTCATGAGGTGTATCACCCCGGACGACAAGGGTACGATAGACCTTCGCGAAGATTAGATAGCGGCAAAGGAATGCTATGCGGTCACTTTGAAGGATATTCAGAAGCAAAGATCGCCTGTAGTCACCTTGGGAGATGGTCCTAAATAGCAGTTACAGACTCCTCTGCCCAAGTATCTCAAGGCAGAGGATGACTGTGGTATCCCAACCATGGAGCCGCTAACCTTGGTAGAGGTAATTCCGGGAGACTCAACAAAGGTTACTCAGATCGGGTCAACCCAAACCCCAGAGGAGAGGGAAGAAATATTCGAGTAATAAGAAGGAATGCAGACATGTTTGCCTAGAGCCATCTAGATATGCCTGGTATCGACCCCCTAATATCATGTCATAGTTTAAATGTTGATACCTCATTTCGTCCTATAAAACAGAAACAAAGAAGGTTCGCTCCCGAAAGAAATCAGATTGTATCCGAGGAGGTGGATCGGCTGCTTCAAGCTGGATTCATTAGGGAAGTTTAATACCCGGAATGGCTATCAATGTTGTGGTGGTACAAAAGAAAAATGACAAGTGGAGAGTATGCATCGATTTTACGAATTTGAATAAAGCATGTCCGAAAGATAGCTTTCCCCTCCCCAAGATTAGATCAAATGGTCGACACCACCACCGGTTTGAACCAAACAGATAACTATCAGGCCGGGCCTTGTCTTCCTTCTTTAACTTGCTGATTGATAACCCTAGCCATCAAAAGGCTTCTGCAACAACAGATCTGCAACTTGACAATTACATACCCTAGCCATAGAAAGTTTCTACAACAACTGATCTACAACTTCGCAATCACACCTCGATGGCTATCATCACACGACTGCTGCCGAGAAACAATCAACACCTCGACGATAACAAAGATCAACAAAAGTGATGATGGTTAGAACGATTTACGATCAACAAATCGTATACAATGTATTATGCTCTTTGTAAGACGATTAACTAGGATGAAACGATCGGCTGAAGATGAGGATTGTCCTGCTCTGATACCATGTTAACTTTGTAATAGAGAGGTTTTGGGAATTTTATGTGAGAGAGTTAAAACCAATAACCCTACTCTCAGTATTTTATATACATATATATATATATATATATACACACGCACACACACACCAATTAATAACATTACAATAAAATGACTAACTTTCCCCTTATAAGAAATACACCTAAATACACACTATACATTCCAACACTTTTTAACACTAGACACTCTATGCCATATGAAATAGTTGGCCTCACAAATGTCCTATAAAATTTTCCTTTTAGTTGATGTGTTATTCATTATCACATAAGATCCCACTAGCTTGCCTCCCTGTCCAACCTGCTAGTGGTGTTTCATGTGATAAACAAATAATACAGAAACTAAAAGATCAATTTTATAGGACAATTGTTAGGCCAACTATTTTATATAGTGCAGAGTGTTGGGTGTTCAAAAAGAAACGACAAAATCGAATTCATGTCCATACCACCTATAGGTCTTCTTTGAATATGTCCATATCACTTAAGTATATTTTCTCTTATCTAATCACTTGTAGGAGCCACACCTAATTTCTCCCCCGCATTCTGGTTTGTAACCCTATATCTTTTAGTGACGCTTTAAATGTCCTCATTTCCGCTACTTGAATTTGTTGTTCTTATTTCTTTTTTTATAAAAGGTCTCTATCTTCTTGTTAAAGTTTTATTTGATTTTATTCAGTTTTATTGCACTAAAAGGTAGAAAACATTTCATCATCTCATTAGGCGGAGTTCAAAAAAAGATTTTAGGAAACAATAATGAATCAACAAGAACCTTAAAAATGTTCATAATGATTTATTCAGAATTAATCAGCAATATGGGTTAAAAAGATGTTTGAATGAAAAAATTTATCAAAAATAAAAAATAAGATGTTTGAATGAAAATCGAACAGTTTAGTGGCTGTGGTTGTAGGAAAGCTTGGGATAACATGACGTAATTTGAAAATTCTAAATTATCATGCTTGTTTAGAAGAGACCATCACAACAAAAATACAAAATCCTTTGACCTAACCTTAATCAATACAAGATTTGGAACTTCGTTTAAAAAAGAAATCATTAAACCTAATTTTTAAAAATAATAAAATAAAAACTGAAAACTGAAAAAAAATTCCTACAAAATAAGGTAAAACAGCACATGTCAGATTAGAAAATAAGAAAATATAAAGGAACATAGAACATCATTTTTAAACTAGTGAGTGATAAATGTGACTGCAAAACAGTTTTGAAGGCATACCATTGATATGATCACTGCATCAGCTTCCCGGCCCTGAAAGCTATCAATAGTTGCAACCTCAACACCTCTGGCCTCCGGAAGCTCATCAAATCTGTCCCTCAAGAGTTGCACCTGAGCAACATAGGGAGATTGCACTGCGATGGCTGTTGGGCTAACACCTATATAAAATAAAAATAAATTGGAACCATTGAAACCATTCAATATAAGCCTGGCTTTCCAAATGTATCAAAGATTATAAAGTTAATAATTCTTTTAATTAAAATATCTGCAAGTTAGCCCTCTGGCATTCATAAAGAGTACACATTTTTAAGTTAAAAAAAATAATAATAAAAATAAAAAAATAAAACACACTATCCTCTGTGTCCTCAGTCCTCACTTAGATGATTTTCCTTAATTGGTGTCCCAACCAGCTTTCAACAAAGGATGCATGAGCCAAGAACTATTCTTGTGGCAACTTCAATCCCAAGAAAGGGTCAAGATAATTGGAAGTCTCAAAGGCACAATTAAAAAAAAGAAAACTTTTAAGGGTTTTTTCACCAGTTACTTACATATTAAAAAAATTGGTGGTGTAAATTGAAAATGATTGCTATTTTAGAGAGGAAATTGTTGTTGTAATCAAAATAGATGGCGAAAGTAAAGTGGATTGACCATCTCAATTGAATTGCCTCAAAGTTTCAATCATGAGGACAATGTGGGTACTAATGGGAGGGTAATGTTTTTTCTGGAGTGTGTTGATTCTATAAACAGCAATTGGTGTGAGGACCGAAGTTTCCTTTACCTTTTTCCGCAATTTTCCTTCACAAGCATCTATATGTTTTGTCATGGAGAGATAGGTGCTTTGAGGACATGTTGGGTATTAGTTAGTTTCATGTGGGACTTAGGCGTGCATATAGATATTTTGTCTACATCGTATTCTTGTAGTAAGTTATTAGGGTGAGGGGTATACTAATTGTTAGCATATATGATAGCCACGATTTATGGAATGACTTACCATATTAGCAGATATTTGATTATGATAAAGAATATGCCACAGAATATGCTTTAGAATATGTTGTGATTTGATTTAGTTTCCTTTCTTGTAATAAGAGCATGTGCTCTTTTTATCTATAAATACTAGAGCTGTGAATGAGTGATTCATCTCATTCAAGCTTTTACAAAATTCTCTCATTTTTCTTCTTTTTATTTCTACTTGGTATCAGAGCCAACACCTTTCCACACCTTCTAGCAGCCTTGTTACTTGTGCGACAACCACCTTAGGCTGTTTGTGACATCGTGTGACGTTGCCTACACATGTTTTTCCGTGTTGCTGTGTTGTGATCGAAAACAGGTATTTTTAAGTTTTACAATTCTTTTTACTCTTCTAAGGTTGGATAAATTGGGACAGTTAGTCTACAAAGAGGTTCCGAATATTACGAACGAGGCTGTTTGGCTATATGTAAGCGGGCAGTGCTCCTTAAAAACAGTATGTATTTGGATTTTTCGGGAATGGTATGAGGAGACATTATTATTGTTTATGGTCTGAGGAGACCCTTTGATTTATTAACAGAATTTGCGGTGTTTTTGGAGTTTTTTATTGTCATGTGACAAATTATCGCAGATTCAAGGTCCTCGACTGTTAATTCTCTTGGCTCAAGTTCTGTGGGTGGTGGTGCCATTTTTTCCACTAACTCATTAGAAAATCCAGGACTTCAAATCACCACAGTGAAGTTGGATGGTTCCAACTATTTGATGTGGCCACAATCTACCAAGATGTTCATTGGTGGCAAAGGCAAGATTGGCTATATTACTGGTTCTGAGAAAGAGCCAGCCGAGTCAGAGAAGGCATATCCACAGTGGTTTGCAGATAACGCTATGGTTATGTCTTGGCTAGTCAATTCGATGCAACCAAACATAGCTGTTGGCTATATGTTTATGAAGACTGCTAAGTAGACTTGGGATTCAGTTCAACGCACTTATTCTTAGAGGCAAAACAATGCACGGATTTTCCAACTGGGGCGAGATATCACCAAGTTGATGTAGTTTTATATACAGGGAATGTGGAGAAGAATCGAGTGTTTCATTTTCTTGCCGGGTTGAACGACGAGTTTGAGTACGCTCGTGTCCATTTATTGGGCTTATCTTCATTCCCTACTCTTGAGGATGCATATTCCTATGTGTTGTCAGATGAGAGCCGTCGGACTCATCCATTAGGTGTTACTATTGTTGATCGTTCTACTGTGGCAACTCGGGTTCCCAACCTTTCAGGAACTGCACCATCCCAGTCAGTTCAGAGCTCTACCACCGGTCCTCCTCTGGGATGACAACGTGGAAGGTGTGACCATTGCGGAAAAATTATCACTTCAAATCTCGTTGTTATGCTCTACATGGACGCCCACCGCAATAGAAACAACAGCCTCGATCCTCTGCACATTCTGTTACACAACCAGTCTCGTTGTCAACTCCTGACAACACTGCCTCTACATCTTTTGCCACAATTACCTTAACTCAAGCTGATTTGGACAAGTTCAAACAATTCTTCAACTAAATGGAGGCATCATCTCAACCAACCTCCACTTATGCCCACTCAGGTACTATTGTGTCTGCACATAGTGTATCTACATCTTCGACACCATGGATTATTGATTCTGGTGCTTCAAACAATATGATTCGTATGTCCTTATTCTTCCAATCTTATAGAATTTGCTCTGGCCATCGCAAGGTACGCCTTGCAGATGGTTCTCCATCTTCCATTGTTGGGAAGGGTCACATATCAGTTACTCCTTCATTAACTTTGTCATATACACTTCATGTTCCACAGTTGACTACAAATCTTATTTCTGTTAGTAGCGTTACCAAACAATTAAATTGTAGTGTAACGTTCTTTCCCTCTCATTGTATTTTTCAGGATCTAGTGTCGAAACGGACGATTGGTAGTGGGCGTGAAGTGGACGGTCTATACCTGTTGGATGCTCCTTTGTCACCTCAAGCACATTTAGCTTCATTTTCTAATTTTGTTTAATCTAATATATGCCAGCTTATGCGTTGGCACATGCATTTAGGACATATTTCTTTCGGTTATTTAAAACATTTATTTCCTTTCTTATTTTGTAATGTGGCAGTGTCAGATTTATCATGTGAGATATGTCATATGGCTAAACATGTTCGTTCCAATTATCCTGCTAGTAATAATAAATCTGCTTTAACACCTTTTGATCTTGTTCATTCAGATGTATGGGGTCCTTACCCAGTTACTTCTAGTCTTGGATTTCGATATTTCGTGTTGTTCATCGATGATCATAGTCGTGTTACATAGGTTTATCTTATGAAAACCAAAAATGAGGTATACACCATTTTTAAAAAAATTTTGACAATGGTTCAGACTCAATATGGTCGTACCATTAAAAAATTCAAATCTGACTAAGGTACGGAGTACACTTATGGGGAGGTACAGCGGTTATGTACATAATTTGGTATTGAGCATCAGATGGCTAATGTTAAAACTCCTCAACAGAATGGCCGTTCTGAGAGAAAGAATCGCCACATCCTTGACTTAGCCAGAGCAATATGCATTGGCATGAATGTTCCCCAGTCATTTTGGGGAGATGCAGCTCTTACAACTATTTACATCATTAATAGGACTCCTTTTAGGGTTATTAACTTTACAGCCCCACTCTTAATCTTACATCCCAATTCATCTCTTTTTTTAATTCTTCCGCGAGTCTTTGGGTGTGCGTGTTTTGTTCAACAATTGGGGCAGACTCATACAAAGCTTGACCCTAAAGCTTTGAAGTGTGTGTTTTTGGGCTATTCTCACTCTCAAAAAGGTTATAGGTGTTACCATCCTCCCAGTCGTCGGCGGCGGTTTATATCCATGGATGTTTGTTTCTTTGAGCATACACCATACTATAGTGGTTCAGTTGGTTCTCAAAGTGAATGGTTCCCATTGAATATAATGGATGATCACCTTCTTCCATCTTCAACTCCTCTACTGTTCCCTGTTTCGTCTTCTATGATTCCTCCTCGTGATACCCCTCCAGCAGGGGGAATTATTCCTTTTTCATAGGTTTATAGTCGGAGACAACTGGTACAAGCTTCTACTCCCACGATCAAATGCCCTATTCCTTCGGCACCAGCTCCGCCTTCTCAAGCTATTGTTTCGCTTGATGATCGCCCCATTGCTCTTCGAAAGGGTAAACGTTCTTGTACATACCTTATTTCTAATTTTGTTTCTGATTATGCTCTCTCACCCTCTTATCGGAGTTTTCTTGTTTCTGTTGCCTCGGTTCCTCTTCCTTTTAGTGTTGTAGATGCACTAGCACAACCGCAATGGTGTGATGCTATAACAGAAGAACTACAAGCACTTGAGAAAAATCAGACTTGGGACATGGTTCCGCTTCCTATTGGACGAAAGGCTGCGGGTTGTCGTTGGGTGTTTACAGTTAAGCATAATCCAGATGGGTCAGTTGCTCGTTACAAGGCCCAGTTGGTTGCCAAGGGTTATGCTCAGACTTATGGCATAGATTATCAGGTGACTTTTGCCCCTGTTGCTAAGATGAATACCATCCATGTATTATTTTCCATTGCTGCGATTCGATCTTGGCCTCTATTTCAGTTATATTTCAAGAATGCCTTTCTCAATAGTGATTTGCAAGAGGAGGTGTACATAGTTCCTCCTCCGGGCTTTCGTTCTTCTGCTCATTTTGGTATGGTATGTCGCCTTCGTCGTTCTCTGTATGGCCTCAAGTAGTCTCCTCGAGCTTGGTCTGATCGCTTCGGCACTGCCATGCTCAAGTTTGGTTTCCATCAAAGTGCAACTGATCATACCTTGTTTTTACGTCATTCAAGCGGGTAAAACAGTTGCTCTCATTGTGTATGTCGATGATATTGTTCATACCGGTGATGATACTACCGGAATTGCTAAGGTTCAGAGCTATCTTGGTCGTCAGTTTGAGATTAAGGATCTTGGTCCCTACGGTACTTCTTGGGCATTGAGGTGGCTCGCTCCAAGGCTAGCATTTGCATCTTTCAACGCAAGTATGTTCTTGAGTTGCTTTCTGCTTCTGGTCAGTTTGGCGCTCGTCCTGCTGATACTCCGATTGAGCAGAATCATCAGTTGGTTGATTCTGAAGGGGAGTTGTTATCAGATGTTGGTCAATATCAACGACTTGTGGGGAAGCTCATCTATTTATCCATGACTCGATCTGACATTGCTTATGTCGTGAGTGTCGTGAGTCAATTCATGCACTCTCCTCGTACCCCTCACCTTGATGCAGCTATTCAGATCCTTCGCTACTTAAAAGGGTATTCGGGCCGTGGTATTTTGTTTGCCAATCATGGTCACTTACGTGTTGAGGCATGGACAGATGTTGATTATGCAGGATCAGTTTCAGATAGGAGGTCAACTTCGGGTTATTGTACCACTATTGGTGGTAACTTGGTTACTTGGCGCAGTAAGAAGCAGGATGTTATCTCTCGATCTAGTGCAGAGGGAAAGTATAGGGCTATGGCTCTTAGGGTATGTGAGTTGCTATGGCTGAAAACCTTGATGACAGACTTGTGCCTTCCAGTGTCGCTTCCATTCTCACTTTACTGTGACAATAAGTCTGCCATTAGCATAGTAGCAAATCACGTTTAGCATGATAGGACTAAGCATATAGAGGTGAACTGTCACTTCATTCGAGAGAAGATCATCACTGGTCAAATTTGCACTCCATTTGTCACAAGCTCTCAGCAGCTTGCAGACATTCTTACAAAGGGTGTCAGTAAGATTGTGTTTGAGAATGCATTGTCCAAGTTGGACGTTTCAGATATCCACGTACCAACTTGAGGGGGAGTGTTAGCATATATGATAGCCACGATTTATGGAATGACTTACCTTAATAGCAGATATTTGATTATACATATGTTAGCATTTACGATAGCCACGATTTATGGAATGACTTACCATATTAGCAGAGATTTGATTATGCCATAGAATATGCTTTAGACTATGCTGTGATTTGATTCATATTTAGATTTGATTTAGTTTCCTTTATTGTAATATGAGTATGTGCGCTTTTTTTATATTTCTACTCATTTTTTATCCCAGCTCATGGTACAGAGTTTAAGATCAGTCCTCTTCATTACTTGCTTGGCCTTGAGGGGTTCCCTCGGCACTATGGTTTACATCTCTCTCAAACTTGCTACACTTGTTGATCTCTTGTGCTGCAGTTCTATGGCCTAATGCAAACCATGTAGTACCCCCCTTGAGTGCCAAGACGCTTGGTTGGATCTCCAGTATTTGACTCTGACCCATCCAGACATTGTCTTTGCGGTTCATTATGTTGCTCAATTCATGAGTGTCTCTCGAACCACTCATCTTGCTATTGTGAAGCGAATTCTAAGCTATCTCAAAGGCACTTTGAACCTTGGATTGGTCTTTCAGCCCTCCTTTGGTGCTTTAGTCCTTGATGCCTTCTGCTAATTGCGCTGGTTATCCTAATACTTGTCGTTCCACTTCTGGCTACTATGTTTTGTTGGGCTCAAATCTCATTTCTTGGAGTGCTAAGAAACAGCCTACATTTCCTCATTCGTTTGAATGCGGCACCTTCTACATGAGTTTCACGTGCCTCTCTTCGAACCAGTCACACTCTACCGTGACAACCTCAACATTGCTAACTTGGCATTCAATCCTGTCTTCCATGCTCATACCAAGCATATTGAACTTAATTATCACTTCATTAGGGAACTTGTTCTCTCTGGTAGCAATCGTGTTCAATTTGTTTTGTCCATTGATGAAATTGCAGATATCTTCACTAAGGGGCTTCACAAGAATCGCGCTTTGAGCTTCTGCGTTCCAAACTGATCCTCCCTAGACCTTAAGTTTGTAGGGGAGTGTTAAACAGTTACGTTAGATTTAGGCTTCATATTAGCTTATATATTTGCATGTCTTCTGTCACATATGTTTAGACTTAATTTTAGGCTATGTTAGACAGCTCCCTTAAATTTAGGCTTGATTAATGCTTGTATATTTACATATCTTCAATTAGTTTTTTACACATGTTTAGGCTTAATTATAGGGGTAGCTTACATTTAGCCGTAGATCTAAGCTTGCATTTGTAGATGTCCTTTTTGATTCTATTAAAGATTTAATGGAGGAATAAATGGAGAAAAATCCTCCTTGTTTCCTATTTTATAGTTCTTCCGATTCTCATAATTTCTTCTACTATATAAAGAAGCTTATATAGGAGCCTCCACCATTGTATTGTATATGAATTGAGAGAGTGGTATAAAAGTGATGTAGCCCTTTAGGCTCTTTGTGCTGTGGATGTATGCTCTAGTGGTTGAACCACGTAATATTTGTGTGTTCTACTTGTTTTATTTATCTCTTCGCTTCCGTTTTTAGGTTTTATAACATGGTATCAGAGCTTAATTTCTCTTCCTAGGTTTGGACCCCTATTTTGGAGTATTCCCTTAGCATTTGAAATGTTGCTCGGTGCTATTTGTGACTTGTTTGGGCTGCCGATTTGTTCGGCAGTAATGTTCTTCGCCTTTGTCGTGTCTCCGACAATTTTTATTGACTTGTTTGAGCTGCTGGTGTGTTCGGTAGCATTGTCTTCATCTTTGCTGTGTCTCCGGCCATTTTTATTGACTCGTTTGGGCTGCCGATGTGTTCGGTAGCATTGTCCTCGCCTTTGTCGTGTCTCCGGTAGTTTTTTGTCGACTTGTTTGGGCTGTCGGTGTGTTCGGTAGCATTGTTCTTCGTCTTCTCTCTTCTCTCTTCATCATTCACACTTGTTGTTACTCATTATCCCAATGGCAAGTTGGGCATTCATGCTCCAACTTGAGGGGGAGTAATGAAGATTTAATGGAGGAATAAGGGGAGGAAAATCTTTCACACTTGTTGTTTCCTAGTATTTAAGATTTGGTGTTACTAGAGGAATCAATAGAGAATGTTAAATTTTGGATGCGGAAATAAGAAATGCAAATAGGAAAAGGGAAGAGAGAAAGATGGAGAACACAGACATATACATGGTTCGGCACTAAGGCCTACATCCATGGACAAAGAGCCACTAAGGGCTACATTTCTATTATTCAGATATCTTTTGCTCGAGTACAAAGAGCCTATATATAGACACGGTAAAGATAAGAAAATATGGAAGGCGTACAATAGTCAAAGGAAACACCATGATTGGTGGAGGATTTTGCTCCACCGTTATATACAAATATTTATAATTGGAAGGAAATTAACCGGATCACCATGATTGGTGGAGGATTTTGCTCCACAATTATATAGAAATATTTATATATTTCAACAGAGAAAAATCCTCCTTGTTTCCTATTTTATAATTCTTTCCATTCTTATAATTTCTTCTCCTTTATAAAGGAACTTATATAGGAGCCTTTGCCATTGTATTGTATATGAATTGAGAGAGTAGTATAAAAGTGATGTAGCCCTTTGGGCTGTTTGTGCCGTGGATGTAGGCCCTAGTGGCTGAACGACTGAACCACGTAATATTTGTGTGTTCTACTTGTTTTATTTATCTCTTCATTTCCGTTTTATGACAACAGATTCCATGAACACACATATAAATACCTCTATTGGGATGAATGCAACGGTGGTGAATTTTCACAATTCGTTTAACTCTCATAGTCGAGTATAAAATAACTGTTTTCACTAACTGCTTTTTAACTCATTCTTTACATATTTACATCTTTCAAAGATTTCCTCATTTCTAGTGTTTTGCCTAGTTTTATAACAAGGCCCTTTTTGCTTTCACTATGGTTTGAACTTTATTCCACCACCAAAAATATCCTTCAATAGTCATATTCCTATTTCATTCCACAAGAACCTCTTTTGCCATTCTTCTGATATATTTGGCCCAGCATACTATATATTACAAAAGTACCATCTGTCTAACCTATATGACCATGATATCATAAGACAAATTATAGAAATGACCCAAAATAAATGGCCTTAGAAGAAGCTAAATACTTGACAATGTCTCGTGCTACCAATCGCAAACAGTTAACATTTAAGGTTCTCTTGAGCAGTATTGGCATGCATCAAATTCATCAGTGACTAATTATCAAGTTACGCTAGCTAGGTCACTCAAGATCATCTAGTAATTGGGTTGCGTCAAATCAAGTAGCAACCTTTAATTGTCTAGGGTTGTTTATTAAATTAGAAATAATAGGTTTATCCTAGCAATAAAAGATTTACATATCTAATATCTATATTACCCTTTAGGGACAGTAAGAATTCATTTATTTCTTTTAAATACATGAATGTCAACGATGGTACAAAAAACTAGCAAAGATTATGTTGAGGTCAGCGTGACTTTATTATGTGACAGATAGTGTAAGTTCCCCATGCAATTTAGCTTAATTGTCACTAAGCCATCAAAAAAGAGATACGCCCTTTAATCCCATGCATTGGGTTCTAAACCCCTGAACTCTTTCTATTGAGGCCTCTTAGTATTCAACCCCCTGCAATTAGACCAATAGATCATTGAAATAATTTTCACTAATTGACTCAAAAATATTTTCTTTTCATTTGGCCTGAAGCATGTAAAACACTCAACATGTATGCAAAGTGTATCCATAATAGGTTCAATTCATCATTTAACTAATGTTTCAGAATAACAATGAAGATGCAGAAAAATATTAGCTCAAATTTTTTATCGAAGAGACAAGAACACGAACCAGCATAAACCAGAGAAAAGACATGTAGCACAACAATATCTGCTTCCCCTTCATTGTAAAAGGAGCCTGTGCCAGCCGGGTCCAAATACTCCTCACAGCCAACTGACAAAGATCCATATGGCATTCTTGTATCAAGTAATAATAATGGGCACTGTGTTGACCATGTGGGCTGCAATCATGTATCAAAAATGTTAAAATAATACTTTGAACAACTTATGGAAAATATCACAAAGGAAAAGATAAACAACATATTAAGGAACTTCTATTTTTTTATTAAAGGTCTTCAAACCCTGATTGTTTAGATGGTATGACCAATACAATATGTCTGAAATAGCTTATTAATGAAAATAGATTAATATGAAGCTCTTTTAAACCCTATGGTACTTAAGGAATCCAGCAAAGTGGAAGTTTAGGGTTGTGGAGAATATAAACAATCCAAATGCCAAATACTGACGTAGGTAAGAAGTGTCAGACTCAATAAACATGACCACTGCAGAGGTTTGGGAAAATATCACACGGGTGCCAAGATAGGCCAAAATTACTGTCTACCCCACTACCAGGGTGTATTTTCTTAAATGTAGGGAGGCAGGTGAGATCATATTGGACGGATGCAAATGACATGATCATCTTTCTATATGTAGGAGGTAGCTAAAATCATGTCTATGCTCCCGAATCTTGACTACACTACCAGTGGTTGTTTTTAATACCTCAACTGCATAATGAGGCAGCTTTGGTTAAGATTGTGAATGACTGCCTTCATTCCACTCCATTGCCTTCTTCGTAGCTCTATACAATGTCATAGTATACACATGTACACCAATTTTTTCTAAAACTTCAGAATGGAGATCATCCAACTGTAGTTCAGGTTGTGCTTTGTTAGCATATATATGATAGCCACAATTTATGGAATGACTTACCATATTAGCATGGATTTGATTATGCATATGTTAGCATATATGATAGCCATGATTTATGGAATGACTTACCATATTAGCAGAGATTTGATTTAGATTTGATTTAGTTTCTTTTCTTCTAATTTGAGCATGTGTTCTTATTTTATCTATAAATACTAGAGCTGTGAATGAGTTATATATATCATTCAAGCATTTACATATTATAAATCTCATTCAAACCTTTTACACAATCTCTCATTTTTCTTCTATATTATATTTCTTCTTGGTATCAGAGCCAGGGTGGTCTAACTGCAATGAGGACATTGCGAGTTCGGCACCACCCATTTGGGAATGGTCTAATGCCCAGGTGTCGGGTAGGTAAGGTGGTCCGACCTCAATGAGGGCGTTGCAAGTTTGGCACCACCCATTCAGAAACGGTCTAAGGAGACATAGTTGTTTCTTTTTTGTGGTCTGAGGAGACATAGTTGTTTCTTTTTTATGGTCTGAGGAGACATTGTTGATTCTTTCTTCTACATTATTTAAATATATGTATAAAGGGGAATGGTCTAAGGAGACATTGTTGATTCTTCCATCTACATGTTTTGAACATGTGAAGGGGAATGGTCTGAGACATTGTTGGTTGTTTACAGTCTGAGAAGACATTATTAATTGTTTATGGTCTGAGGAGGCATTTTTGGTTTGTTGATCGACAATTTTAATCTAGTCAGATTTGCACTGTGCAACTTGAGATTCTGAAGAAGGGTGCTAGCAAGACCGTGTTTGAAGATGCGTTGTCCAAGTTGGGTGTTTCAGATATCCACGCACCAACTTGAGGAGGAGTGTTAGCATATATGATGGCCATGATTTATGGAATGACTTACCATATTAGCATAGATTTGATTTAGATTTGATTTAGTTTCTTTTCTTGTAATAAGAGCATGTGTTCTTATTTTATTTATAAATACTACAGCTATAAATGAGTTATATATATCATTCAAGCCTTTACATATTATAAATCTCATTCAAACCTTTTACACAATTCTCTCATTTTTCTTCTATATTATATTTCTTCTGGCTCTAAATGTATTGCTAAGCTATGTTACCCGGAGTCGGGTTCAAGTGTCGGATATGGGTGCGTGTCTATTGGTCCGATTCATCCATCTTTCAAATTATCGGATCCGCATACTCGGCTAAAAAGAGTGCAAAAATTGGATACAAAACATTAAATAGAGATGTAAAGTCTCTAAAATGGCCAGTGCGCGTGAATGCACCCTCGGCCAAAAGCGCAGAAATTGTGCAACAGACGTGCATGAAGAAAACAACCGTCTTCAAGCTTCAAAAACCCAATTTGGTACCAGCAGCCTCCATGAATCTGATAGAAAACACCCGATCTTACAAAGGAACACCAAAAAAATCATTCAGATTCCTCACAAACATCCACCGAAACAATCTTCCATAAGCATGTCTTCATCAGCCATGTCTGATAGATACAAAAAGGTGTCCGACCCATATCTTGTGTCCATGACACCTTGGGCTAACTTGGAGAGTCCAGGTAACATAGCTGCCAAGCTTCTTAGATATCTAACTTGGCAAGTCCAGGTAAAATAGCTGACAAGCTTCTTAGATATCCAAGTTAAGTTAACTTCCCAGTTCTTTGTATTTCTAAAGTATGCATGTTCCCCTGAAATTGTTTTTACCTTGAAAGTGACTCCATCAGGCATGTGTACTGCATGAATTCTCCAATTACACCCGTGGTAGACATAATGAGTTGTTATCTTATTCATCCTTACCACTCACAAGTCAGAAACCTTTTTGAACTGAATAGTCAGTCCCCTAAGACGGACCTAAAATGTTTTACATCATCAAAGAGGAGACCCTTTTGAGTCATCCGACCTATTATCTATCCTTGTTCCATATGCCGCTTCTGTTGCAAAGAGGATAGAGAAGCGTCAAAGGAATTTCCTATGTGGGGCTATGGGAGATGAGTTCAAATACCACCTCATCAATTGGGAGCAGGTTAGCAAACCGCTTAGTGCTGGGGGTTTGGGGTCAGGAGATTAGTTTCAGCAAAGCTTTGTTGGGCAAATGGTTATGGAGATTTGGGATAGAGTGGCACAAACTGTGGAGGAGAGTCATCAGTTAAAAGTTTGGGGAAAGCAATGGTGGTTGGAGCTCTATGAAAGTGAGGTCTTTGGTGGAGGTGAGGGTTTGAAAGTTCATCTGGAAGGGATGTGATGGATTTTCTAAACATATTCTGTTTATACCTAATAGGGGGAGTAGGGTTTTGTTTTGAGGGCATAGTTGGTGTGGAGAGAGGATCCTTGCGGATGTCTTCTCGAGATTTTTCCGGATTGCTTTGAACAGATCCTCATCAGTCGCTTATTGCTACCGTCTTGAGAGCGTTGGATTGATATGAGATATTCAATTTTCAAGGTATCTTCAGGATTGGGAGGTAGACGACTTTGTGGAGTTTATGGTGCTGTTGTATGGCCAGCAGGTATGTGGTGAGGGAGATAAATGGGTTTGGGCGGCTGATCCACATGGCATATTTGAGGTTCGCTCCTTTTATAGGAGGTTGATGGGTTTGTAGGAGCCTCAATTCCCTTGAAGGCCATTTGGAGGCCCAAATCTCCCATAAAGGTGGCTGTCTTTGGGTGGACGGTTGCCCTAAAAAGGATCTTGACAATTGACAACCTTAGAAGGAAGCGTCAAGGTTTGGTCAATTGGTGTTGTAAGAGAGACAAGTCAGTAAACTATCTACTCTTGCACTGTCCAGTGGCTTGGGGATTGACCTTTACCTTGTTTGGTGTATATTAGGTCTCACTGCTTTCCATGATGAGCATTCTCAAAGCTTGGGATGGGTGTATAGTGGGAAAACCAAATCGGGGCCTTTGGCGGGAGAGGAATAGAAGATCCTTTGATGGGGAGGAGACTCCTATATGGGTTCTCAAGATATTCTTAGATCATTAATTTTATGGATTCATGTTTGATATTGCAAATCCGTGGAGGAGCTTTTGTCTTTTGTGGAAAGTCTGAGGATATAGCAATTCTTATTTTTTCTTCGTAAGCGGGATGCACAGAGCCTTTTATAACACTTTACTTATCAAAGAAAAAGAGAGGAAACCCTTTTCAAGTTCTTTTATATCTCCCTCACCATACTTAATGACTTTCCCTTTCAAGTGCTTATGCACAAATACAGTTTTCTGTTTTGCATCAGCACTACAATCAGAATATCTACCACTTCCATCAGAATATAAATCAGACAAAGCAGAATCACTATCATCATATTCATTCTCCCTTTCCCAAACCACATCAGATCCTATGCAATCCTCATCATCAACAACCTTCCGTTCCTCGTCATTACCATTTATGTTGGCTAATTTCATTACAAAAGCTTGAGTTTATAACATTTATTTAACTTTTAGATGATACTTAAAAGTCAGAGTTAATTGTGTTACCAGAGTCCAGGGACAAATTTGGAAGTCAAAGCTATATTGAAGTGAAAAAAGGCAATTTTAACTCTCAAATATGCATTCACCATTACGGTTCACATTGTTCATGCATTCCTTCAATTAGAACTTCACATATTTCACGATTTTTATCATAAAAAACCTTTTTGAACTGCATAAACTTGTTTTTAGAATTTTCCTCAATTAAAATCCTAATTTAGCAAGAACAGGGCCCTTCGATCAATTGAAGGATCCATCAAAGGCTACCAATCATGTCAATCAATGACAATTGGCTCCATCAATCAAGCACTACGAAATTCAATTTCCATATAGAACTGAATCTCCTTTTGCAGCATTCCCTCTAGCATCGCAATTAAACACTTTAGTCAATCAAACAAATGTTTTTCTAATTCAATTTTCTATGTCCCATTTTCTGTTCATTATTACCAGTTATGAGATCGAAGAACTGAATCTCCTTTTGCAGCATTCCCTCTAGCATCGCAATTAAACACTTTAATCAATCAAACAAATGCTTTTCTAATTCAATTTTCTATGTCACATTTTCTGTTCATTATTACCAGTTATGAGATCGAAGAAACTGCTATGTTGAAACAGAAGGCGAAGTTTGAAAAATGGATGGCACAACCACATAGCTATCGTGACTTTATATGACCAATAATAGTTCCTAGAATTTGGGATTATTTAATAAAAAGCAGAACTATGTTTAAGGGCTGCATATGGTTGGTTGTTGAGAAAAATGATATGTATGTTATATCTTTGAATCTCTAAGAACTGAAGAAATCTACGAAAGTTCTTCACAATTATTT